GCATAGTGGCTCACTCCTGTAATCCTAGCACTCTGGGAGGCCAAGGCGGGAGGATTGTTCAAGGTCAGGAGTTCAAAACCAGCCTGAGCAAGAGTAAGACCCTGTCTCTACTAAAAATGGAAAGAAATTAGCTGGACAACTAAAAATATATAGAAAAAATTAGCCGGGCATGGTGGCATATGCCTGTAGTCTCAGCTATCCGGGAGACTGAGGCAGGAGGATCGCTTGAGGTAAGGAGTTTGAGGTTGCTGTGAGCTAGGCTGACACCTGCACTCTAGCCCAGGCAACAGAGCAAGACACTGTCTCAAAAAAAAAAAAAAAAAAAAAAAGTAAAATGTGGCCATGAATAGATGGAAATAAACCTGTTTAGGGTCAGGAAAGTGTCTTTAAAGGCCAAAAAAGTCTACCGCATGGATATTAGAGGTGATAGTGATCTCTAGTGCTGATAGAGACCTGGCTACTCTTGAATTTTCACAGCAGATCTGCAAATTCTTTACACAGTAGCTCCTGAGGCTTGAGTAGAATCAGGGTAGAACTCAGGTCTGGACACACCATGACTGCCACTGCCTGAGGCTGAGATGCCGGCCCCTTCCTCAGGGACAGTGCCTCCTAAAATGGCTGCAGCCACACCAGAGCGCAGGGGTCTATGAACAAAGATGTTCACTGCAGCGTTGTTTACAAAGCGAAGCAGAACAGAACAAAACCCAAGCCTGGAAACACTCTAAATGTATATCAGTAAGCAGGGCCAGGCGAGGCTGCTGCGGAGCCTTGCGGGGAAGGGTCTTTTCCCAGGACGCACACGCCTGTCTCCTGGGGATGTCGCCGTGTACAACTCAGCGCGTGTGTCGGGGCTGGGCCTCTGCCATGCGCAGAGCCTCCCGGTGAGAACAACAACACAGCAGAGCCCTCGCCAGTCTTGGACTGGGTGAGGCTGACAGAATCACGGAATCTTCAAACCATAGGGACCTTAGAGATCATCCATGCCAACCTCCCACCCAGTACAATGACACCCTCTCCTGGTTTTTTTTTTTCCTTTTTTATTAGTGCTTCCCTGTGGTAGAAGACAGCTTCTTCTGTTTCCCAGCAGTACCTCAATCACTTCCCCTAAACCAGGACAAGTTCTTCCATCCCCAGCTCCTGAGGATGGCAACTGTCTAAAAACATCCAGCGAAAATAGGTATTAGGTATGATGAAGAGTGTGCAACCCCAGCTCTACCTGGCTCTTTTCTAGTGCAAGTGATGCCCTAGTCTTGATAGACACAATTTTTTTCATGTGGAAATCAAGCAATTGAGCCCAGCTGAAAAGTGTTGGGTTTTTTTTTTTAACTGTTAATTAAAATGATCTTGTTTTTCTTTGCTGCCCTTTCCCAGTTGATTACTTGGTATCCATTTGCAACATCAGTAAATACAACTTGAGAAATCAACATGCCGAGGTGTTTTCATTTCCATTTAAGCTTAGAGACTAAGGTTGGTGGGGCTTTCTGATGAATCTCTGTGTAGGTGGTTAACAGAATGTGATCTCAAAGCTGAGTGTTTGATGTCGTTAAGGTTTCACTTGCTGATGCTGTCTAAAGGTGATTAAGAGTTTTATTTTTGAAGAAATCTTGGTGAGTAACAAGGATTCACTATCTGCAAAAGCTACGCTTGAACAGGAGAAGGCTCTAGCAGCTGTCAGTGCTGCTGTCCATGTGCAGGGCCCGGGGCCGGGGCGAGCGGCCCGTGCCAACAGAGCACCGCCTGGAAGTGGAGCACGTGCCCGCTCTCCTCTCGGTCCGTCCTTGGCTCCATCCGAGAGAAGCTCCTTATTTAAAGACACCAGTAACAAGAAAGGGGACATTGTGTGGCTAGCACTTTGGCAACAAGCTTCAGCTCAAGCTGACTTGAGTTCTACCCATAGCTTTTTCACAGTTCCACCACGACAGAATCAAGAACTTACCTTGGTTTTTCTCTGCTTTGAAACCAGTGCATCTCTTACCTTCCCCCTCCTATTATGGGAAATGTTTACTCAAAATTGCTTCCACAAACATTTGGCGAATCATCAAAGCAGCTGTAGGTTTCTCCTCCTTCAGTGACACTCACTTCCCAAATTTACCGTGGCAAATAAATGCCTCACCCCCTTATCGGCTTTTTGTGGACCCTCTGCCAATGGAGGATTAATTCAAGGCCTATGTCGCTGAATGGACCAGGCACTTTCTTCCCTTTGAGAGATGGAATTTATCTGTTAATCCTAAGAGAATCTGTAAAGGCCTCCAACACTGTTAAACGACCCCTACCCGCTTCCCTTCCCCCTTTCCCTGGCAGGAGCCACCAGCAGACGCTGGCGTGTGAAATTCAGGAAGTGTCTGCTGAACTGCGTCTATCTTCTTCTCCCACTTAGTTGTCTAGGGAATGGTTCTTCCCTGATGGCAGGGTTTCAGATGTGTTCTAACCCACACTCAGTGGGGTAGAAATGGACCATTATGTATTTCTTGGTCTTTAGTTTACTTCATAAAAGGCATGCTCCTCTTTTGGGTTTGATTTTTGTGCATATCATTAATATATATATATATATATTTTCTCACCATAAAAATATGCATATAAAGACAAATTACCTTTGTCTTGCCACCTAGGCTCCTCCTCAGCAGCAGCACTGTTAACAGTTTGGTGTGTTTCCTTTTTCCTGTGCTTTTGTATACATATATGCTCATGTAGAAGTATTTTGTTTTGTTTCTATTAATCTAAATGGGACCTTGGCAAAGACCCCCAAATGTAATTAGCCATGCCAGAAATTGTCCCATGAGCCTGGCATTGCAGTCACTGAGTGGTCTTGGATGTAAATAACCAAATACACTGGCCATTTGCAGTCAATCCTGGGAACAGCTCCCCGTCTGAATCTACACCAAAAAAGGAACATGATTCCATAAGTAAAAAACTCCACAAACTGAATAACCATTGGAAACCAAATCTCTAAAGGCAAAGCAACTGAGGTAGGATCCAGAAGCAATTATTTTTAGTTCAGGAAAAATAAGTCTTGAGACTCTGCCACCAGTAGTGAGTGAGAAGTCACACCCAAGAGACTCTGGGCAGGTGAATGAGAGCTGTGGGCAATGGCAGTGGAGCACCCATTATCTACCACACAGTCGTGACCAGGAGCCTGGCCAAGGTGGCTCTGCCCCTGGCTACTGTGTGACCCCGGGCAGGTTCTTGAAACTCTCAGTGCCTCAGGATTCATACCTATCTATACAACAAGGACAATAAGAGAACCTAGGTTATAGGGTAGTTGTGAGGATTCAATCAGTTATATGAGTCAACTGCTTAGCATGGTTCCAGGCACATAGTAAGGGTCCAATAAACATGAGCTACTATTCTTCCTGCTTATTTAGTAGCATAGGCAGAGAACTGGTGGTGTGTGAGGCACATTATCACAAATACCCATTACCTTTACCCCTGGTGCCTGGCACACAGTGGGCATCAATGGTTGTTCACGGAATGATTAAATGACAAAGTGGTTGATGGGCTTTTGTTCAAGGAGAGACACTAGAATGGTAATCAGCAGTAAGGCTTAGATGTCAAGAGAACCTGCCCGTAAACTCTTTAATTCAACATTCTACTGAGATCATTGTATTACAGACATCCACTATGTGTTCGTAATACTCAGTCTGAGGCACTGTAAAAATCCTTTTGTGTCTTAGGAATTATCAATGATTAAATTACATTCAATGATATTTTAAGATTAAGCATACTGTACATTACCGTATTCAAATGCTTTAAATATTGGAAATTTCAGGTAGAGAATAAATGGCAACAATGAATTAACTGGAGTATTCTCCTCAATGGCAACACTTTGTTCACACCTCTGTACCCACAGAGTATTGTTACCCACTCACATTTCCATCTGCCACGAGACTGTGAATGTTTCTTATACCTTGTGCTTTTATATCCCCAGTGCCTCACACACATTCATGCTCAGTGTACACTTGCCAAATAAATAAACAGCCATTGTGTGTTTCATGACCACACCAGATTATAGTTTTTAGTCCTGCAACATAGTCTTCTGGTGAACTTCTACAACACAACAAAAAACCCGAAATTCTCTTGAGACTGTTTAAATACAGATTTCAACATTTTAAAATACAGCACACTTTAAGAAAATCATTCATGCAAGCCCTAAACTTTTAGACTAAATGACTTTACAGAATTCAGTTTAAACTGGAAGCTAAAGGATCTGAAAAGTCCTTTGCAAATTACACAGTTTCTAACAATCAGATACAAGCCACTGCTTTTCTTACAACGAACTATTAAGGCTTGTACTGCTGGCGTGTCTGTCAGACGTTTCATCATATTACTGTACTACGGATGGTGGTACTGGCTCCAAGGAAAGGAGGCAGGAAGAAAAAAGGATGGGAAATATTAGGAAAAGTGAGGTTAAAAAAAATGACTCTGATCCTTCCTCTTACACATTGCAAACATATTAGGCTCAGAAACCTGCTCTGAACTCATGTCAGAAAGAAAACAGAATCAAAAGTAGAGCCAGCCTGTCATCTCTTGGACTCTCACATGAATGACAGGGAAAATGGCCAAAGGACTGAGAAGAAAGGTGGGTCTGCGGCAGGTGACATCTGAGCACAAGGCCTCCCTTTTCAGCACAGTACTCCCCCACCCCCACATTCCACTGGGAGCCTCAAACCCTAGGAGGTCTAAATCACAGAGGCTATCCACAGTCATGCTCTCTACTGGGGTAATTGTAGTGTAACAGGGGTTTCAAATTTTAGTGAAAGGATCTTGGCTTTAAAGGTAGAAGTTTAGTCTTCATCCTGTGGATAGTGGGGTTTGGGCATCTGGATTCAAGTGGTGATGCCAAAGACAAATTCTACCTGCTTCACAATTTTGCCTGGGGTCAGCTCCATTTTCTCAGTTTGGAGGTGGGAAGGGGTGGGGAGGAGGAAATTGTGGGAAAGCACAATCTGATTTTACCCCAGGGGCAGAACTCCCCCAAAGAGGGACCAGCACTCATAATGTATGTTGGGCAGGAAATGGTTCCATAAAATGGCATTACCTACCTTTCAGCATTGTTTCTGAGGATTAAATGAGATAATATTTTAGAGCATAACACACAACTAGGCAAAACGCGCCCGATAAGTGTTTACTATTATTTCACAGACATGAGGCAATAATGATGAAAATAAAGTTTCCAAAGAAATTTGTTCACAGACAAATTAGGAACAACTGCAAGTCTGCAGAAATCCAGAGCTGCTCATGATACAATAGAGCACAATCTGTTCTCTTTTTAAAGATGTTTCGCTTTAGAAGTTACTGTGGCAACATGTAATTTCAAATCTTTGCAATGCCCCTCAACTATAATCTTATTATATTTTGTCAGTTAAAACATCCTAGACTGGGTTGAGTTTAACAATCTCATCTATTAAATTGGCCTTCCTGTCCTCTTATGATGTGACATCCTATCGGAGATGTGCATCTCCCTTATCAGCCTTCCCCTCTCTCAAATCCACAGCTTACAAAGGTTTAGGATTCCCATTTCTTGATCTTTGGCTGTCAAAAGCATGTTTGTCAGAGCACGAAGTAGTCCTGAAATACAATAAGGGAACCTGGGTGGAAAGGAGAGGCTCTGCCATGGCCAACAGCTATGTTTTAATATTAAATAAAGCAATTTAAAAATTGAGTCAGGAACAGCACTGGTCCAATACCCAGATTAACCACCCTACTGAAGAGTTACCAAATGTTTAAGAGACCTAAGCAGATGCACAGGGGTGATGAGGTAAAAGGCAACTAAAAGAAGCCAAAGAAGCCAGGTTTACAAAAACACCAAAGCACAGCTTCAAATAAGACATGGCTTTGCCCTGGAAACTCGTACTGGCATGGCCACCATGTTCAGTCTGGCAGGGAGTGTTACCACAAACACAAAAGATGTGGGTAAAGGAGACACAAGTCTGTTTCAGGACAGTACCATGTAGCACAAATGATTAGGTTTGGGCCGAGATACATGCTATGAGCCAAGCACGTGGCAGGTATCTCCGAGTTCTCAGTTCTATGTGGATTTACCAGACCATTATCCCTGGGCTTCCGTACACTGAGCCTCCAGCTGTCAGGAACTGGAAGGTAACATATATACCACATTTGGTTCTTGTCTCAGAACAAGGTAGGCTAAGACAACTTGAGGGGGGGCAAGGAAAGAAAAAAACCTCCCTAAACAAAAATTTAATTTAATAACCGGGCAAGGTGGCCAAAGCCCGGAAAACCAACCAACCAAGAAGCCGAAGCAAGAAGAACCCCTAAACCCAAGAAGTTGAAGGTGCCGGGAACCAAGAAGAACCCAAGGCAACCCAACCCCGGCAAAAAAAGGAAAACCCGCCCCAAAAAAAAAAAAAGAATTTTATTTGATACTGTGAATACAAGAATAAAAATCTTCTCAGTGCTGAGGCACTCCAGAATTATTTACTCAAAGCAAACAATGTAGAAATGATTTCTCTCAATGGCTAGATATTTCCTTGCTTTAATTATATAACATTTCCTTGAATTTCTGGCATTTGCTACTTATTGGTTGCCAGCATCCACAAGCAGCTGACAAAATGAACAAGCATAAAATCAACTTTTCAATGTGCTTAGTTTGCTAAAGCTTTTTTTGTTTCGGTGGTCTTGTTTGTTGGTATGATTTTGGAATTGCCTAATGTATAACATGCTGTGTTAGAAAAAACTTGACCATGTACATGTATTGCTTTATTTAAAAATGAATTAAAGAGAAAAATAAAATAAACATTTTCATGCCCCAGGAACTGACATGAACCTTTTCTGTTTCAGCTGTGCCCTGCAGCTCTCCTTTGGTTACTGGTACCATTTGCCTCATGATGCTCAGAACATGTCTGCTGAGTGGGCAGTGAGAGTCAGGGGCAAGCCAGTCTTCGAGGAGCTTATAATCAGACTGGGGGAGACACAGCTCGAAATTCTGGAAAGGTATATTTAATTTCTGATTATTTTAAAGGCAAATAGAAACATTAATTGACCATGATGTTTTTCCATTCCTCATACTGATATGACTAGGGTAAAATAAGCTAATGATGAAAACTGCCATCTCACTGTAAATTTAAATGCTCTTCTTTTATTAATGTGTGTATGAACATGAAACATGATCACCTGTTTAGAACAAAGACAGCTTTTTTCTTTGACAACTTCAGAATAAGGAACTTTGGCTTTTTATTCCTTTTAAGAGTTTCTGTAGTTGACCATTTTTATCTTGTTAGACCATTCCCTTTGGATCTGTATTACCTTGGCTCCTCAGAGATACAGCAAGGATAGAGTCCTCATTTAAAAAACATTTCCTAATTTTTACATGTTAAAAAGCTAATATTTAAGAAAAGCCCTCTTAATCCCCCAACCCCAACTCCCAGTGAATAATCCAGTTTAATACAAGTGAAGTCTATAAATAAATTTGTTCTTTCTCCTCAAAAAACACTTACTAAACTTTACAAGAATTAGAGGTTTAAAAATTTTACCAAGAGAAATGGAAATATTATTTTACCCCTATTAACATACACTGTTCAGGCATTCCAGCAGCAAGCCCTTTGCTCAGCATTCACTGTTCTGCTAGCATGCTGGCTAGGGGTCTTCTTAGTCACTCTTTTCTTCTCCTTGATAGTGTCTGTACTCTGGCTTCAGCTCCCATGTGTTTTTGTGGATCCCTTTTACATTCTGAACACCAATTTCTTTTAAGATTTCCTTCAGGTACCCCTAAAACAAAACAAAACAAAACCAAAAAAACACTAACAGATTAGTTTATAAAGATAGGAAACAACATTTAAAATAAGTTATATGCCAAAGCACATTTACAAGTGCTTTGCAGGAATCCAAAAGATTCAAACAAGCCCCATCTTGGATCTTCTAAATCAAAATCTCCCAGGAATTTCAGCAAGTCTCTAGGTAACTCATTTAACTACACTAAAGTTCCATCACATCTGTTTTAAGGTTCTTCCAGCTCTGACATTCTAGAATCTTTGAGTCCCTGGTGTGTTGCTTAGTTCTCTGAGCCTCACGATTGCTGGAGATAACGTGTTACTAACATAATCTAACACCACATTACACTGACTGATATAACGCTTTGTTCATAATGTCCTTTCAGTTAGGGGTAGGTTGTCACCTAGAAACATAACAGCTGATTACCACCTACACATGGGTCCTTTATAAGGCCCTGGATGGCTTAGGTCTCCCTTGGGCAGCCTTCCTTCCCATTCTAGCAGCCAGGCCCCAGCAGGTGGCAGCAATGAACCAAATGAACCCTGGGTTCCCCCAGGAGGCTTGCCAGCTTCCCACACCTTCCACAGTAGGCTTTACTGGCAGACCTGAGTGAATGAGTAAGCATAACGGCTTGAGACATCCAGGTAATATGCACGTCTGCCATCTGCTACTTCAAATTACAAAAAAATGGAACACTGTTCATAAACTACTTTCTAATTGAATAAGATTCATAAATGGGAAATGATGGGTTAGGCACAAATGATTCTCAGTTTAGGTGCCAAGAATGACATCTTTGTAAAATTCCAAAGAATGGTTCATTATGAGACTGGCTACGATACTGTTGCACAAACAATCACACAATTGTGGATGCATTGCAATGGGTCAAAAATGAAAAGAGCAATTGCCAGGAGCATTTTGGTGGTATGATATAAAACAAGCCCTTTTAACGTCAAGTCTAGTGTGCTCTATAATCTAGGCACAGAAAACGAAAATCCTAAAAAGGGTTAAACTCAAAATATTAAGAAGTCTGCAGTGTACAAATTCAGTATCATTCATGTATAGTCTACCTTTATTATGGTAATCTAGTATGTTATGCAGAATATTTTTTTATACACCAAGGTATGACTCTTTGTTTCCTTGCAACAATATGAATGAGATAATCATAGTCTGTCAATTTGTCAAATAACAAAATGGGATTAAGGTCACAATACCTAGCCATAGCACAGATTTCTTTTTTGGGGGTGGTAGTGGGGGAACTTCCTAAAGGATGTTCCAAACTGCAACCTCAGACCACTTTATCCAAATGAATCAACTTGGCAGGGGAGTAGGCATACAGCACTAGCAGAGAACGTTAATAGTGATGATAGGGAAAAAAAGAGGTCAGAAAATCCCTAAAGGGCATTAGACATGGATAGAAACATTGAGAATCATGTCATTGCTCTGTCTAAAACGTTTCAGTGACTTCCCATTTGGCCTACAGGTTGAAGTCCAAATTCCTTCACAGGCATCTGCTTGGGCCTGTCTTCTCCTTTTGGCCTCATCTTCCAATACTCCCCCTCTTACACATATCTGCCACTTCTGTATCTGCATGCTTCTGGGTTTTTCCCATTTGCTGTTTTCTTTCCCTATAATATTTATCCCCTTTCCTCAAATCTGAACTCCTCATCCTTTAAGAATTGGTTCAATGTCACTTTCTCAGAGAAACTTTTCCTAACAACCTTACCCCTTAGTTTTACATTTCACACTGCACATACTTTAATAACCCTTATTATACTATATCATAATCCTTTATTTATATACCTCACTTTCCTCTTAAACCACGTGTTCCTATTCTAGTGCCTGCTTGCACATCACAGATACCTGGTGTACTGATGCGGAGTGAATAGGGTGTGCTTAAGAGTGACAGGCAGCTAAGAGGATTGTGGGGGAAAGAGGAAGATCACTAAGAAGGTCCATAAAAATAGACTATTGGAACTCTACTTCATTTTTAGAACTCAAGCAGCAACCCAGTTTGAGAAACAAAAGTTTACTGACTAACTGTACTACCTGAATCTGAATGACATTTATTACTAAAGTCTGTATTGTAGTATTAAAATACTGTTGGGGACAATGCCAAATGAGGAAGAGATTTTAAAGGTTCTCCCAGAAATTGAAAATTACTTGGTAATCTAATTTTCCTTTCTTTATGTATTCACTCAAATATTTATTCCAGCACAATATGCCAGGTAGAATGGTACACAGCCGTCTTCTTTACAGAATGCAGTTTAAGATTAGGATAGGGGTGAGGCTGAAACAAAGGCATGTAAGGAGGCAATTATATAGTAATAAAGGTATATAAGTACAGGGTATTATAACAACACTGAGAAGGGGCACCTAACTCAGCCTGCCTAAAGATCTTAGGTTCTTTGAGGATAGATATTTGATCATTTGAATAGCAATTATGTGCAGAGATAATGAAAAACAAGTTCTCCTTCTCTTACTTATTCTAAACATTGTGATTTTCCAATTTAATCCTTTGTCTAACCACCTGTATTTCAAACAAAAGATTCTAGAACTGAGTAGATTGCCTTTATGTCACACAGGATTGGGGATATTTCTCATTATAGACTATGTGCCATGCTGCAGCACAAGATCTGAATAAACTGGCTCAGGTCCAGTAATTCTTCATCAAAGAGATGTGTGGGAGAGAATTTACAGCAAGTCTTAATGCAAAGGAAAAAGGGGATAGAACATCACGGCTTCCTTGGAAGGAAATGACACAGTACACACTTGACCAAAGAGGTCAAGTGATTAGGATGTTGTTAGCATTTGTAGGTCAAGATAAAATTGTGGTGGCCAAAAAGCCAGAAATCTATGGATCAACTTTCTGATTCTTCCCCAAGACTGAGACAAACCTATGTAGAGTCACAAGGCACAGGAGCCTGCTATTTTAGTGTTTTTTTGTTTCCTTCCCTCCCTCTACTCCCCACCATTTCTCATATCATCTTTTCCTCTACTGCTCTGTCAACCAAATGGAGAACTTATCTGCATTTCATTTGATCAGGCATTTCAGTGATAAGCATCACATACATAATAATAAATCAATTATATCTAAATTGTTAGATGTTGTTTAAAAACATATACCTTTGACAGGGTTAGTAGTTCATCAACTACTAATATGCTAATAATTTGAAACTACTAGGCTTCTTAGTCATAAAATCTTCCCAAAAAGTTGAGACAGAATAAGCAAATCTACACAAAAGATGGCATTGATTAATTCAGTCACCAAGGGGAAATGCACAATATGCTTTTTATGGAGTGATCCAATGACAAGAAGGGCATCATTTGGTTATGTGATAATTTCAAATTTATCATTTCATCTTTATGTGATTTTTGTGTGAATGACTGCAACTCCTTTAAGAGACATAAACAGAACAAAAGCACGTACTGATAAAGATGTTAGTGACTCCAAGGCACAAGGTTCTTCCGTTAAAAAATAAACTACACATTAGGAAGAAACTGTGAACAAAGGCAACAGATGTTTTTGCTCCTTTAGATAGAGAAAACTGTGAACAGGAGAGGGAAGGTGATGCTGGTGACTCCTCCAGAGCAGGGATGGGGACCATCTCTGCATTTTTTTCCTCCTTTCCTCTGGTTTCACTTCCTCTTCCCCACTAGACCCCACCCTGTCTTGCTCTCAGGGGCCCACTGGCTGAATTCCTCCCTCTGAAAACTCCCTTTGAGAAGAAGCAGACAGATGGTAATGAAATAATCAAAGCACAAGCCCTACCCCAACCCCCCAGTCCTACTTTATTAATCCAAATCTTGAAAAAGTGATTATTGCAATAATATTTTTGTGGTTGTAAATTACCTCATTTTAGTAACACCTCATCTGCCTGGCACTGACAAATGCTTCGCATGTTTGAATATTCCAGATAAGCAAAGCTTACTTCCTAGGGGCCAAAAAGTTTACTTTTAACTTTTGTTTAAAAAGACATGTTTCTAAACTGTATTAGTTTATTTGTATACTGAACATAACAACCTTGAAATATTACAAGGTATTTATTCCAAGGCTGGGATAAAATGGCTTCCAATTGAGAACGAATATATATATATATATTTTAATTTAGACTCTCTCTATATAGTTTAATATATATTAACTATATATATATAATTAATTTAGAAATGGTTAACTAGGAAAATATAATCAGAGATATTCAAAACAATAAAGATGAAACCAATAAAAATCTTTTTGAAATATGAAGCAAAAATAATTCTTTTTTTTTTTTGAGACAGAGTCTCACTGTGTTGCCTGGGCTAGAGTGCTGTGGTGTCAGCCTAGCTCACAGCAACCTCAAATTCCTGGGCTCAAGCAATCCTTGTCTTAGCCTCCCGAGTAACTGGGACTACAGGCATGTGTCACCATGCCTGGCTGATTTTTTCTATATATATATTTTTAGTTCGCTAATTAATTTCTTTCTATTTTTAGTAGAGATGGGGTCTCGCTCTTGCTCAGGCTGGTCTCAAACTCCTGAGCTCAAATGATCCACTCATCTCGGCCTACCAGAGTACTAGGATTACAGGCGTAATTAATTTCTTATTAATTAAAAACAATTAATAAAAACAGAGTAAAGTTTTACTATAGGGCAATGGCAGATAAAAGTTCTCATTTGTCAGAGCTAGGCATGGTGTAGTCCCAGCTACCTGGGAGGCTGAGGTGGGAGGACTGCTTGAGTCCAGCCTAAGCAACATAGCGAGACCCCATCTCTCTCTCTTTTTATTTTTGCTACAGAGTCTCACCCTGTTGCCCGGGCTAGAGTGCCATAGTGTCAGCCTAGCTCATAGCCACCTCAAACTCCTGGGCTCAAGCAATTCTCCTGACTCAGTCTTCCAAGTAGCTGGGACTACAGGCATGCCCCACCATGCCTGGCTAATTTTTTTTTTTAATATACATATATTTTTTAGTTGTCCAGCTAATTTCTTTCTATTTTTAGTAGAGACGGGGTCTCGCTCCTGCT